GTAGGGCAAAAAGGCAATTCCGTTGGCCCATTGTCATTTTAAATGGTTGTCAATAGATGGCCAGCCTGTTTTTATCACCTGTACACATCGCCGAGCCACGATTGTAATTAGTTTTGGCGATGGCAAACATCCCAGCCTCGTAATTATCCGGCTTTCCCAAAGAGCGGAAAACAAAGCACTTTGAAGTGCCACTGCCAGCTGGAAATCTATTAGCCTACCTGCCCGGCTCAGCTTCGATTGAATGAGATTCCTTGAAAGTCTAACTTTGATTTATGCGCCGTCACGCGGCGACAGGCAAACATCACTAATGACGACAGGAAGTCAACGGGCGCCAGTAGCGGTTGGATGCCAGAAAGGAGGGGGAAAAGGAAAGGGGGGAGGGAGGCATCCACTTTCTATTACTCTAATGCTATTAATATCACACCAGGAGGCATCAGTCGTAATTGCGACTCGAAGGCGACGTTTCAGGGACTCCATGCAAAATATATTGCATTACGCAGCGAACACAGTAAACCTATACAAACAGCAGTGAAAGTCTGTTTGTTTTATTGTTGTAAAACTTTTTAATATATCAGAATTGCTGGCCCTTATGCTCCGGCCATAAAGAAAGTGCCACCGGGGGGCGAGGGAGCTGGGGTGTTGGTATAGGGGAGCATAAAACTCATGGGCCAGCTCATATATCTGATGGGGCCTCGGCACTTTTATGTCCCACATGGCTGCAGTTAACCCCTGGAAAAAAATGGATGGCGCATAGCCAATGCGCCGGGAATTCCTCGTCTCGAGTGAGAAAGCCCACTTAGAACAGGGCCATTATCCGATTGGCCAGAAGGGTGTTATTCGGCCCGAAGAAAAACCCAAGACTTGAAGCCTCACATGCGGTTTAACTGGAGGCTTCCCCTTGAAACCTTTGCGGAGCATTGCTTTCTATGAAGTTCGAAATTTATTTGAGCTCTTAATAGGCAATTAAATGCGAGCATTGAGAACTGACTTTTGTAAGTCATATATGATAATAGCAATAAATAATTGAAAATAAAATTTATGGAGTTTGGATACCTTTATCAAAATCAAACCAAAAATAAACAAAAATAAACAATATAGTTTAATTAAGAGTTTAAAATTATGTTTACTTAAATTTTAATTATTTTAATGTTTTGTAACTTAAAAACCGACATACACGAATTTTAAATTTTTTCCAAGCTCGTGCAAGTAACTGAAAAATTTAATTACGAATCAAACTTGTTTGGCTGGAAATTATTAGTTACACACGCTGTTACCTTATCAGGGTTTCGGTTTAAATCAGGTGTGTAATTAGGTAATTAGCTAAATATATCGTGACCGACCAAACTTTGACCCAACTCAAGCCATAAATCCCCCACGGCTGTCAGAAACAAATCACTTTCAGCGCTCTCAGGGTCAAGTTCGCAACAAAAAACATAAGGGAAAACCGTGCAGACAGGCGACCATACCCGTTTTCACAGGTGAGCGGGAAAACTGACATTCGAGTGCATTGACAGTCGTTCGGTTGGAATGGCATTGAAGTACTGATTTAACCAATGGTTGTGTGGCTACCTTTAAGTCCCTTTAATATGCAATTGGGCAAATTATAAGTTCAACAAAGAGAACATCCAACAGAGTCTAAAATAAGCTCAAAAGCCTCTCTCCAATTGAATTAATTAGCAATTCCGGCAAATTACAAGCTTTTATAAGAGATTATGTTATTATCAAATCCTTAATAATGAGGCGCAAATGTGGAGTAAAATCATTAGAACTGCCGAGTAAGCCTATTAATTAACTGACTGGTAAGCTTGTTATAAAAGCAGTCCGAAATCAAGTGGCATAACTAACATCAGGCTTAGTAGAAAGTCCATCGTAACGAAAAGCTGTAACATTGTACTACTCATTCACTAAATAAATGTTTGCAATTCAGCAGCAAGTTAAAATTGGCTTCATAACAGACTAAAGTACATCCTAAATAAAGTGCATCGCATGCTGCACATCATTAACCTCCGTTTATAACGCATACGCCACCGAGACCAATGGCTCTTTGGCACTGCATAGCAGCAACAATACCCACGAACTCCTGCAACAGTTGCTCCGATGAAAATCAACAAATCCCGATGCTGGAAACGCCGAACTGTAGCATACATTCGTGCATACATCAAGAGCTGTGAAATGGAAAACTGCCAGGTAACAAAAGGAAATTTTCCGTTTTACTGCCTTGACTGATAGCATTCGTTTTCGGCGCTGCTGCCCCTGTTGAATTCTTAATGAATGAGTCAGCACTGCCCCATTTCCGAGATATACATCCGTCCGAGAAATGGAGAGTGATTCGACTGCCACTAACGAAAAAATAATAAAGCGAAAGTAATAACCTTTGGGGGCTACACGTCTGACTCAGTTTGCACGAAGCTGGCTGAATCCGCGATTCATTAAGAAGCTTTTGGCTAAAACAACTGCAAGGCAAAATATGGCTCAAACCCTTCGTTTCGCTTAAAGTCATCATATTTGCAAACAAATACCGCCGAGATTTTCTGGCAAAAGTTAATTATACTGAATACACATTTACTCCATCATTTGCTTACGCTCAGTTGGCCCACAAAAAGTGTAATTGACAGCGAGAAAGATGATGAGAAGGACTGTTAATTAATTTGCAGGATCCAATTAAATTAAGACTTTTCTTGATCCAAGCTCAATTAATTCATTGTCGCATGGGTTACATGAATGACAAAAATGGTTCAAGCGAACTCGTATTTAATTGCGGTGTTGTCGACTAATGTTGAACATGTTCATTTTAAGCTGTCTGAATCTTCGTGTAAATGTCATTGAACTGCTCTGAATATATGCAACATGTTGCCTAGATATTTTCACAAGAATTTAAACTTCAGAAAGTTTTACCTCGAAAGTTTCAGCTACATTTACCTAAAACTGATTTTCTTGAACAACTTTTTTCTTCTGCCTAAGGAGTCTTAAGTTGGGGATTTCTTCAGATGTCAACTTTAAGTTAAACTTTAGGTGACCTTCATATTCTGAACACATTTCTCAGACTTGTTAAACTTAAAGATAAATTCCTCAAAAGACTGGCAGTTGCAAAAATGTTTAGTAAAAGTGCGGCTTTAAAGCCCTTTTAAAAGGTTTGAAAACTGTATCAATCAAATGCTTTGAATATGATTTTCTACCCTTAAAACATTCACCTTTATGCAAATAACTCTTGAGATTATTTGGCACTTCCTTCATTCAAGGAATTTGTAACTTTTGGCCGGATACCCTGATTCCTGGAAAATCAAGCTTTGATTTACAGATGTCTGCCGCTTGATGCATTTTAATTACGCATACGCACTGTTTTTGGGGGGAAAAAATCCTGGCATAATCCTCTCGATAATGGAATGTTGGTAAATCGAATTAAATTTATTTATTAAGGTCTCCCGGCACCCAGCGGAAATTCAGCAAACCGAGAAGGAGGTATAGCAATGACGGGGGAATGATAATAATTTAAACATGCTATGTAAATTTGCTGTGCGGCTGGGGCTATCAAATAAAGCTCAACCAGTGGCAGATATAAGAGTTCGGCAGCACGTGACGGTATTACCAAAGGCGCCATCCCAATACACAATACACACAACACACAACACTTGAATGCCCAGAGAAACGGACACACAAAAATAAATCAATGTTGGCTTCTGGCGAAGCACTTGGGGGCCCAAAGCATACGCAATTTATTTTAAAAACCGGAGAAGGAAAGCTACTATTGTGATCCAACTGGCTCACCTTTCACCTGTGCCCCGAAAATCCCCTTCTAATTCAGCACAAATTAGGCACAAAAGAAAAGAAATTGACCTGAAATCAGATACAAGACAGCATAAATTCAATTGCGAAATTGCGTACGTTTTCCACCTCAAGGTTCTTGAGTTGCTAGGCTAATTTACTACCCTGTATGAGCTTGCCTCCTGGTTCCAAACTGCGGTTGGGAGGAAATTTAATATCAAATTAAATATTCCCAGGTTAAAAGCATTTAAGTCAGAACCACAAGCATTTCCCACCCTTGTTGAGTGCAATTAATTTACATCTAAGAGTTGAAGAAATGAAAAGCCATTCGTCGTTTCACTTTTTGTTTGTTTCCTGTGGAAGAACTTTAACAAAATTAAGTATAAGAAATCTTTAAGTATAAGAAATTTTTTTTAGATTAAAATACATTGTTATCTATTGACTCTTATTGTAAATAGAAACTGAAACTGGTTGAAAGCATACAGTTTTTCATTTCAATGATTAAATCCCATTTTGTTTTAGTTCAAACAATGCAGTTATTAAATAAAACGTTCAACAAGAAGAAGGCACTTTATAAAACAATTTAGCTGAAGTTTTAAATTCAGTATGTGTATCAGATTCACTCTAAACTTGGCTGGAATACTGTATGCCAAGTAGTTGCTTGAGAGCAAATATTTGAGCGGCTTCTGTTTGTTGTTTCTGGGGCAGCATAACGTATACGCAACGTGGCACGCGCAACGTTAAGCTCATTTACATCAGCGCGGCGTTTTCAACGGCATCGCATTGAACCGATAAGGTTACGTACATCCATTGGCGCATATTGCACGGCTGGTTACTCGCATTTGATTATCGATGGTGTATAAGACCCAGGAGGCCAGGACCACTCCTCCAATTCTGTGTCAGCCAACCGACGAACTAGCTGCTCCTCAAACAATCACATCCATGGGTAACATGAATATCTGTACCTTGCAGCCACGAAAACTTTTCAGGGACTTCCTTCCGTTCGATTCAGACAGATTCCATTTTTCGAGGGCACGACAAAAATACCAGTGGAGGGAAAACATCGCTTTGAAAAATGTAACGCTTTTGTTGCGACTTTAATGCGCAATTATTGAAAAGCGAATGGGGAGAAGCCAATGCGAACAAACACACAGCTCGAGCTCCACTGCAAACAAAGTGTTTCACACTATTATTTAATTAAAAATAAAAATTATTTTGCAAAGGAAAATTCATACAAGTTTTCAGCTGACAACTTTAATACTAGAATATTCAAGTTTTAGGTATGTAGTTTTTGCAAGTGCAAGTGCTTGGGCCACTAACTGAATACAAGCACTCGTGTTCCCATCGACTGATGCTCTCTGCTCGCGAAGCCATCACAATCATTGCATCAACTTTACACAGAGAGCGCGGAGAACGATTGTCGATGCTTTTAACCAAATGAACTCATGTCGTACATAGCCAAGTATAAATACAATTGATTGATCAGGGGAAATGTGTAAAATTTTAATCCAGTGTGGAATTTAATGGGGCACATTTAATAGTCCACGTTGCAGTGCTGGCACCGCCCATTGACGATGGTAGTGCCTCCCCTCCGATAAACAGTGGTACCTCCTTCGCCTCCTCGGTTTCCCCGGGAGATGACCACATTACCACTGCTGCCTGGCGAGGAGAAGCTGCGGTACTCCTGCCCGTCCAGAATGACGCGTTCTCCATTCGGATTGGGACCTGTTCGAGTGCATAATTACTCATTGCATTCTCTAAGTGCAACCGAACTTACAAGTCAGGCAGACTCCATTTACGACCACAGTGTTTGGAGCTGAAAATGATAGGTAAACATCAATTAGCGTCAGAAGCAATCGGATCGAGTTTACCGCCGATCAGAGCAGGAATTATAGATAATAAGAGCACCACACAGGTAAGGTACTTCATGTTTAGGCCGGTAGATGACTGACTAACTCAACTCTCACGCCGCTTATATAGTCCGGCACTCAATACGATCCGTATCAAAATCAATTTGCATAAGCTTGAACCTTAGCGGCAGTGCGCTGCTTTCGAGGGGTTCTATAGACATATCCCAATAAATTTCCCCCGAACCCTATCAATCCGAATTCCATGGGATTTTCCACAAATGGTTCTGATACAGCTCGACGTAATTGATTTCCTTGAACTTCTACAAAGAAATTTACGACAGTCACGCCCGAAAACGCAGTTTATAATTATTGTCAGACGTTCCAAACATGAATGGCAAGCGATTCCAGAGAATCACTCCCCCGTCACATTAAACCATCTATCTTAGAAAACTGGTTACAGTCCCAAAAGTCGTGACTCGTGAGCAAATCGTACCGCGACGATCGCGCATAAAAAAATGTTTTTCGACAGACAAATCATTACTGGATTATAACTCATTTCTCATTAAAATTTTGGAAAAAATTGCAGAAAGTAAAACGCATTTCGGAGTTTAATTATCAGTCATTGTTTTTATTGGTAAAAGGTTAAAGGTTATAATAAGAGCGTAGTTACATTTAGAATATGTTTCTAAACAATTAATAAGCAGTAACAACTGAACGTAGGGCATCTAGTAAACTCTATGACCAACAGCGGTTTCTTATTGTTTTTAAATCTGTGGGCAATTCCCTGCTGAGATTATTACCTACATAGCGGCTTGTTTATACTGCGAAAGTTCTTGGCGGCGATAACGTCTGATTGAGTTCATCAAGTGCATCGTATATAAGCGGCTGCTGTGAATCGAACCTGGTCCAGACCAGTTCGACGTTTTGATAGACCAGCAGCACAATGAGACACCTGACGGCATTCGCGATTCTCGCTTTTTCTGCCCTGGCTTTAACGGAGGCGGCTGTGTACATCGGCGGAGGTTGCTATGACTGTAAGCTAATCCCCATTTATTTGCGTTATTCTCTGAAAAAGTTTTTCTTCAATTTCCCTCGCTCGTACGTCAACATCAAGAGCTTAATCAAAAAGTATTACAGCCTTGGTCTGACCTTTGATAAAACGAGTATTTTAAAGTAATCTCGAGAAACTCATTTGCAAATTCCTCAATTGCAATTTTACCCGTAAAAACAAAGAAAACTAATACAGCAAATATTTTTAAACAATAAATGTATTCCACCTTCCTTGCTTTCACATAATCAGAAAGCTTTATCAAAGAGAATTCAGCTTTAGTTTGACCTTTGCAAGCCTTTGATTTAGCTAGTAAATAAGCTTGAGAAAACCATATTGAAAAAAAATACCGGAATTTACTATTTAAATAAAAGTTTTTGTTCGCTTTGAGAACCATTTTAAATTATGTGGAATTTATACAGTATTTTTGAAATTATTTGTGTGTGTTTTAAAACGTGTGAGAGTTAATAAGTGACCTTAAAATAATTTAATAATACTTTTTAGGTAATCCGCCCGGAGGCCAGGGACCCGGAGTCTACACAGGTGTCAATGGAGGAGGCGGAGGTCGACCAATAGGCGGTGGAGGAAACTATTACAACAATGCTGGAGGAGGCGGTGGAGGAGGTCGGCGTCCAGTCTACTCGGGCAACTTTGGACCTGGCTACAGCAATGGTGGTGGCGGTGGAAGAGGAGGAGGTGGTTACGGTGGTGGAGGAGGATACGACGATGGTTTTACGCAGGTTATAAGCGGCTGAGAATGTAATCTATTAGCTTTGTCGCAGTAAGCCCCGCAAATTAGCAAACGTCGGCAGATTGTATATAAGATAAGGCCCGAGCTTATAAAATGCATTATGGCTTAGCTTAATAAAATCTAAAAATACCAAATCTAGAAAATTTTTAAAGAAAATATACAACGTCAATTTAATTAAAGAAGCATTATTGGTTGCTCATTCAAACACCTTTGCAAACACAATGACAGTTTTCACCACAGTATTTAAACATTTAATTACAGCTTTAGCAAGAGACTGCCTTAATCAAGCGTGTTAACCTCGCTTACCCGTATTTACATTATCTCATTAAGGGGATAAATACGTTTAATTCATCTGTATAATAAGGGCTTTTTGTCAGCTTTGTGATAGCCACTATTAACAAGTTATTCATTTTTCTCTATTGAGTTGACAAAGTGTAAAAATCAAAATTGTTGCCCACAATGTACTTAATTAAGATTTGTTTACACATTTCAGCTTCAGTGCTCTCATCACAAATACAAGGTTGCAACAACTTTTTGCAATCATCAAAGGGTCGTTAAAGAATTTACTATCATAATTCTCGGCCCCATTCCATTGATTTCACCACACTACTTAAAGGAATATGCCCTTAAAAAAATCGTACAAAAAATGTACTTAGAGGGCTTTAAAGCAACCCAAAAAAGAAAATATGAATGCTACGATTGGAAAAGAGTTCGGGTTTGAGTGGCCAAAAGTCATAAATTGATGAATGAAATGATTTTTGAGTTTTTAGCCTGTAGGATTTACACATAACTTCGTTGAATTTCACCCAGGGGAATGCCTGCAGGTAAAATGGGCTTATAGCCCTTTGACTTAATGCTCCAATATTACTGACAATTTCATATTTATTTGCGAATGCAAATTGGCACGGTAGAAGTAAATAAGTCGCTTTTTGATGTAATGCAATCAAAAGCGAACATGCTCGTAAAGTGTTTTATTTAATTAGTTTTCATTGAGCCCCTCGCTTTGCACTCAGCATTGAAAGTGCAAATTTCATATGCAGCTGCATAAGTAAGAAGTTAAAGCCATATACAAAAGTGTAACAACTTTAAAACTGGCATCGAATATTCACTCTAAGCCGTTTAAATTTTCTGATTAAGGCGTTAGTCCGGCAAATGGAAATATTTCAAAGCATTTTTAAATCGAAACCCCTTTACTTATCCGCCATAATTACACATTTCGCCCTTGTTAAATATTCACCGCATCGAATTTCCAAAAGTTTGGGGCAAAGAACGGTTCTGGGAATCCCACCGCCACTTAATTGAATCAATTACCAGTTGAATTTTTGTTTTTGCAAGGGTTTTCGTGAGCTAAACCAAACTTAACGGCCCGGAATCGATTTTGGGGTCATCATTAAATTACAAAAAAAGTTGGCAAAGAATGCATTTCAAGCGGAAAATCGCTGTTATGAGCCAAGAAAATGTTTAATATTTGGTTTCATTGTGTTAAAGCTAAAAGAAGTGATTAATTTTAATGAATTTTGTTCTTCCTTCTGATGCAAGATCATAGTTTGCTTGGTGGTCATCTCTCAGGCATCCCCCACCATTCTAATTTTAGATGACTTTTGACTTTTGCTGCACATTTCCAATTAACCAACTGAAGTGGAACTAGCCATTGCATTGTAAATAAAACAACGCGCTGAATAAGCAATTAAAATTCTGTGGAATTTCGCAGTTTATGGATACATTTTTGAGCTAGTCTCCTGGTCTAGTTTCGCGTCTAGTTTTCCGGCACCCACCTTTCTTTTTTCCCATCCTTTAGCCTTGTCGTTAATATCAAACGTCAAGCTGAAGTCGATTTTTTTCTTGTAGTTTGAAACTTTTTTCTTATTCACTACACAACTTCCATTTATCCCGCTTTTCACTTATTCTTGACGTTTTTGTTGCACTCGCATGCAGATGACAACTTGGCAAAACCGCAGAAATTTAGTTTTTCTTTAGTCTTGCAATATAAATCTACAAGGTTGCATAAACGTTAAAGAGGAATTATTAGAAGTTGGGTCGCCGGAAAAACTTTATGTTTCCACCTAATCAAAATGGTTGTCCGCTTTTTCACCACTTTTCGAATTGCTCGCTTGCAGCGAAACACCACAAGTCAGATGCAAAATTTGCTACCGCGATGCAGTCATCGAGTTTCCCAGGACGGAACAGGTAAATGGGTGAGCGGGGTGTAAGAAAGCCATTAGTGTTCAATTTCCACGCTGGAGGTTAAAACTAAGCGCGTGGGCAAAATTAACTTGGACCAGGAACCACTTTTATTGCCAACACGACACACTCTTGAGCTTGCAAACTTTATGTTGGCACTTTGCAAAATATGCTTTGAGGACTACACAGCGGATATTAAAATTGTTTCGAGTATTTCCCATCTCGCGTTTTTATTAATTTAAATTGGAGTCCCAAATGGTTATATATAAGCTATATACGGTCATCACATATTGTCTATATTATTTAATTTAATAAAAACAACGTTACTTCTCTATGGCAAATAAAAACTCAAGCAGAGATGGACAACGTAAGTTAAAGTGCACTACATTTTCCTCGCATCTGTAAAGTATTCTTCAAATTTCGATTTTCTTATCATATTGCTAGGAAACTTTTAACAACTGAGCCCAACATCTGAGCAGCTAAGACAAGCTGAATAGAAGTTGAGTTGCCAGGCGATGGGATATTGTAACTAGACATTGTAAAAACAAGCATGTGATTTGTGTATGTACATAAAACCATTTTGTTGCCACTTGGCTTTGATATATATACAAGCTTAAGATACAGGAAAAGCCAGAAAAGATACTCTTCTTGATAAAATATTTGTTTTAATTTTCATATTTCCGCTCATCCTTGGATTATGCAAAGCCAATTCCCTAGGAATTTCGATTTGAAATTTATATAAGAATTCAATTTATTCTCACAGCAGGTGCTGGATTCAAAATTAAAACTCCGGTATTTCCCTTCTGTGCCATTGTTTCTGCGGTTCCGGCGGAACTTTCTTATTGCGCTACAGCTGCGGTTTAAGGACCCCTAAATAGAAAGCTCTCAGGATGAAGAGAAGGCGTTGCCAGTGCAGGTGGGCACATTGTCACTGCTTTCGATTGACCTTTACCAGAAAAACCACCAGGCGAGTACAACGTGAATATTCATTTATTTGAAATATGCATTTAGTTTAGCTTAACGTACGAAAACAGAGAACCAGTGCCGCTATCCGACCCTGTAACCCGCCCGCCCAGCAACCTCGCCCCGAAACGACACCGGCAAATTCACAGACACATAGATAGAGAGAGTTCATCCTTCCGATGGGTGACTAGGGGAGTTGAAATGCTTGGCATTCTTGATGGGACAACTACAACCGAAAGAAAAGAACCGAAACCCGAGCGAAAGCCACCAGCCGCAGAAGCCGCAGCTCCGCATCACATGGCCAACAAGCGCCGTTCTGCATTGGCCGCACTTCGATTTACGGCCAATTCCGCACCACCAGCAGCATCAGGAGCAGCGTCATCGTCACCGCCAGCCGGAACCCCATCCCGTGCTGCCTGGCCAGTCCCCCGGCGTCGTTGTGGATGCAGATGTTCTGGAGGGCGGCGCAATTGCGAAAGTGCTTCTCGTCCGACAGCATTTTGGCCGTCTCGCGGGCGAACTCCGCCGAGTTCTTGTAGCACTTGTAGCGGGCGCTGTTGTAGATGCAGTTCTCGTACGCGTAGCGGGCACTGCAAAGAACCAAGACTTGATTGATATCGATTCCGGCAAAAATGTCATTCGCAGCGGCAGAGGGCGTTTAATTTAGATGCCCTGGACATAGCAAAAAAAAAAAAAAAAGGGAAGCTGTTTACTGGGAAAAAAAGCAATCAAAAATGTACACTACGGGCAACATAAAAAGAGACTCGTACTACTACATTTTTAGCCTTTATATCTTTTTAAAATATTTTCAAAAAGGAATTCCAAGAATTAATAAACCTAACAGAGCTTTATTAATCATGTACATTTCTTTTTCTTCTTTTGTTGAAAAATTATTATAACAAGCTAATTTATTACAGCCAAAAATGCTACTAACAAAATGATATTTCAAGGAGCCAAAGAGCAGGGAAGCATAACCCAATGAATATGCAATGAAAGGAAAACATTTAGTTAGCCATACCAGCAGAACTCGAGGAACTTCTCGCTGGCGTTGCGCCTCTCGTCGTGCACCTCGTCGCTAAGGATGCTCTCGAACTCCTCCGTGCAGGTCACCCAGTCCATTTGGATGTACTGAAAGCAGTCCTTGTGCCGCAGGTAGTCTGCAATCAGGGAGAGAGTGCTTCAGATTCGTATATAAATAACGCTCCTTTGCTGTGGCTGTGCACTTTAAGGCCTGTCAAGATGAGGTCCTTTGTTTCGGGCTTAAAGGAGGCTTTTACCCCGTAATTTCTGGGTTTTGGTGTATTGTGGGATTTCCATGTGTGCGCTTGGCACCTCGTTGCGTGTGGTTATCCTTATGTTTTCACGAGTGTTTACTTTTCAAACTGAATTTAAACCGTATTTAAGCAGCCATTTACATTTCGACAAACTTACCCCGCTGGAAGTCGGCGTCGCCGCAGAATTTGTAGAAAAATTTCCGAGCTCCCTCCACATTATTCTTGAACGTTCCCAGCTTGCGGTCGTCAAGGCAACGCTTTGAATAAGTATCGAAGCACCTCATGCCGCGGTTGAATATGCTGCAATAAGTAATTCGATTTGAATGAAGCACAATTGAGTGGGGTCTAATTGAATGCCACTCATGTTTCCTCTCCGGTGACACGACCAGTGTGTGTCTGCACAAAGTGCGTCTGCCGCAAACTGTAGTCCTGCCTTCATGTTTTTCTATTTTCCTTCAAGATATTTTTTCAACATAAAAAACCAGCCGTTCCCAATCGAGGTGGTTCGATTTGCATAACCTAAAATTTTATGGTTTCTTGGTGAAGAACTATATAGTGCTACAGGTTAAATCCTTTGAATACATTTTAGTATGTTATTTATGTATATTAAACGACAAGTTTGTTTAACTTCTAACCCTCATCTGAAATGATATTTTGCTTCCATGTTTTTCTAATCTTTTGTTATACATATGCTCGAATATTTATTGAAGCTTACGTCTTAGCTTTGGAAACGATTGGTATATTGAAATATGCAGATTTTTTTCGGTTGATTTAGGTTAAGTCATGCATAAATGTGACAGGTTTTAAATAAAATTGAATTTAATTTCTTCTGAAACTATTTTTATTAAATTCCTTTTCTCGGGAAAAATAACAATACTTTAAGAAGAAAATTCGTATTCTCCTTGACAATTGATTAAGGGGTTACATGGGTTTCACGGTTTCAAAAAATCGATTTTTTTTTTTTAATCTTATTAAATTCTATAACATTTCTAGAATATTTTCCTAAATTTTCAAGTTGATCCGAGTAATAGTCTCGGAGATACAGCCTTGAGAAGGTGGACGCTTGAGGCCACTTGTATTGTCTCTTAAAACTTTAAACGCGTTTTTCTCAAAACTATGTTTTCAAAGTCGGTTGTCAAAATTTCTCGCGAACTACTCAACCGATCTTAATGAAATTTTACACAAGTATTCGAGATATCATTTACAAGGTATTGAACGAAGGATTTTTTTTTTTTTTCAATTACAACTATTTAAAAAAAAAAAAATGTCGAGAAATTTTCATCGAAATTTGCATTTTTTTGTAAAAACGTCTGCCAAAAATTCAATTTTCATTTTTTTTTTTTTTCCTTCGTCCAATACCTAGTTTATTGTCTATACTGAAACACGTTTTTTTTATTTTTACTTTTGATGATCCTGAGAGAAGTTCTGCTGACAACGCGGAGGCACCTTTTCTCCGAGGGACTGCCGGAAATGGCGTCGTAATGGCCGACATTTTGATATTTTTTTTTGAAAATTTCACAAAATCTTTATTAAATATGTATCTTTTAAATAATAAAAAGTTTCATTGAAATATTTCATTTTTTATATGCAAAAAAAATGTTTGAAAAAAGGCCGTTTTTTACCCGATGAAACCCATGTAACCCCTTAAGCAAATACAAAGAAATCTACAGTCGAGAGCAAATATTTTAAGAGCACTTCAATTTGAGTATTTGTGGCTTGCTAAGGACAAACGTCAATTTCTTCATTTGCCATTTAAGGACAAAGTAATTTATTATCATCGCCTTTGGGCCCTTAACTTAGTGACACCTTAAAGAGGTTTTTCGTGGTTTTGTTTGAAAAGTAAAACAAGTACTTATGCTTCGCCTCACCTAAATCCTGTCAAAACAAAGTAGTCGCAAATTAATTTCTGATTGTCATTTGCCGTCGTGACCTTGCTAAAAATCTCCTGTCAACAACAAATATTGTGCGAGCACTTAACTTGGCTCATTGAAGGCATACTAATGCCGAAAGACTGTAACTTATTTTTAGCGTTTCAAGCCGGAATAATTAATCATCTCCTTGAAGGCCGAGAAGAGAAGGCCTGTCTTTTGCGAACCCAACTCAAGTCCCCTGTCGAACCGAGCGCGGTCCTGAATAACTTTCGCCGCCTGCGGCTGAGGAGAAATATGAATAAATCGCCTTCGATAAGCTGCTTGAGTGGGCAATCAATAATGTATATCCCCATTTTCGCACTCGCCTCGCCCGACGACCTACTTGCACTTGGCGGTGATCTCCTTTTTGCTGATGACGATTTTCGTGTTCTGCAGGAATTCCATGAGGTGCGGCGGCAGATCCTTAAAGCACTCGTCCACCATTTTCTGCGTGCTGCCGCAGTCCTCGCTGGCCTCAGTCGCCTCCTGCGATATATTCGCGCCGTTCTGGGCCAGCACCACGACAACCGGCACTCCGAGCAAAGCGACGAGGTAAATTAAAATCACACTGCACAGTGAGCTTCTCACGCACATCCTCGGAGGACACTTGTTGCCACAAATCGACTGACGGATATTAATTGACCAGTTGCTTGGCCTTGAAGGCTGGACCGACCGCACGAACGCTAACACAGCACTGAACCCAGAAACCGCATGCAGCGTCTATAAAAGGGACTTCCGAAGCAGGACCTCTGTTAGCTTGCTGTTAACCGTCTGTTAAGTGTGGCGCATGCGCACTTGCGATCCCTGCACGTGCTTTTTCCTTTGTTTACAATACAAAGGCAGTAGACTTTCTAACAGGTAGACGTTGACGCTCTGGCGCAGAAGATGGGGTTCCGCATAAATTAGCGTCCACTTCGGTGGAACCCCAGGCTTGCAGTGCTGCTTAAGTGATTGATTGCCCTCAATCATTGCTTCAGGTGACGGGCATGTTTCCGGCATATCCTTTGAGCCAACCGCCACTGGTCTTAAGTTAATTAACTCACCTGTGCACAATCCTCCTCGGGGTACAGTATTTCACAATTGAAAAACTGAGTTTCCCGGCCAGGTTTCTTATTGTCCGAGCCGTTGCCTGCCCATGAAACCCGATACAGTTTTCCCTGGCCACAGATGAACCCCATTTCGCTTTTGAAGTTTGTGTGAATTCCGTGCTGACGGACTGGGTAATTACAATTTGTAAAGGTGGAATCCGGTTACTAAATAACTTCCTAGAAACAAAATACACATTTTTTGAACAGTGCTCCTCTAAATATGCAATGATTTTGCACAGAAATGCAAAACAAAAGGATAGCGAATAGCTCAGGTATATAGTTTTTCTGGGAAAAACCAACTTCAGGCCAGAGCCCAATTACTGGGAAACTCGATTACCCCTTTTATTTTGATTTAGTCGTCATCACAACATCACGTTCTGCTTAAAAAAAAAACAAGCATTTAAAATAAATGCCATTTAAGTCCAATAAAAAAACTTTTCTGATTTTTGTGCAAATATATTCAGTTTGTGAATGCGAATTCCAGCATTCTTCAATTGAAAATATAGAAAGTCCTTTAGTTTTTTATAAACATTTATTTTTGCAAAAAGTTATACATAATCGTACATACATACATACACTCCTACGTACGTAGGTAATTACATGTGCGTATTAGATATATTGTTAGGTTTGAACATATGGATTATCTCACAATAAATCGATGATTTCCTTCTCAACAATATGCAGTTAAAATTATGATGCTGGCGATGGATAAATAATGTTTCTGGTGCGATGTTAAGGAGCACAGCATTCGTTCGATTAATGTAATGAGCATATAACTAAATGTTTTTAAGATTTTATTTCATTCTGTTACACAATCATCGAGAGAATTTGATCTTTTTCCGTTTGAAATCAATTCTAAGCTCGTCATAAGCAAGGTTTGCTACGATTGCACGATTGCCGTTATTATTAAAAAGAATTATTATACATTAAGAATATGTTTAATATTATTATATAGTTAGTCAACTGCCATGTGGTTGAACTTCGTGTTGCTTCTGAGTATAAGTCTCACAATTTGCAGAGTAATTTCAACAGGTTTTCTATACTTCTTTATTATTATTTTGATTGGTGCCGATTATTAAACTTGATTAAGGCACATATTGATAACATTTCCATTCCCCAACAAAGCTTTTCGAAAATTCTTTAATTCAAAATAAAGTTTACAACAACTCTACGTGGGGTGCAGCGGTTGCTTTGTACCATAGATTAAATGCAATTTACTTTCGCCTTCTATTTTTGTTCTTTGCTATCTTCTGCACTTCCCCTACTTCATTTACAAATAAAAACGATACTATTCAGTTAAAAGTTTTAACATTGCCCATTCTTGGCGGCTTGGATTTATTTTAAATTAAAGAATTCCTTTTTGTTGTGGCCATCGTTTTTCAGAACAGATATTCGTTTAAAATGTAATTTTTTATTTCTGCATATAATACATTAGCTTTAAAATATTTATAATAATTTAAGTTTATCGTTAATTGTACATTATGAATGCTTGATGTTACCATCATATTATGTTTGTTTCATTATCTAAATATGGCTGTTAAACGTGTTTAATATGATATTGATGCTTCCCGCTTCGACCCCACTTACTTTTCTCACAATCAATTTGAAGTGGGGTAGGGAATCTATACAGACGATATAGATCTACTATAACATAATCAAAAAATACTTCATTAACAAGAATTTGCGTCAGTTTAACAAAAATAGATTATGCTTAATCGAACTAGGGAAAGTCCGAATCCGACATAAAAGTGAGTTAAAATAGATATTTCGCCCGATCCTTAAAAATCTTAGTATGAAAAAAGGAGAAGCGGCTAACGCTTAGCTTACGAAAGATTCATTTTTGAGAATTGAGTTAAAAGAGCTGATGTTAAAAAAATTAAAACAGTTTTGTTTGCTTGCAGAGTTTCTTGGATGAGATTCCGTTAACATGATTTTCCTTAGTTTCGTTATGGGGGTTTGGGATAATTATATACAGACTTGTATATGCATATTATATATATCTATATATATATAGGTTTGCATTAAGTATGTTTTTGTTCGTTGAACTTTTACACTAAGAACTAACTTGTATTTTCCATTAGATTATGTTAATTAAACTAAGTTCTATGTTTGATTCTCTTATCAATTGTTTGCTTAATTGCTTTGTTTTGTTGCTGGCAAAACGTAACAGTTTAATGGCCACAAGATTCAATACATACTGATGTTGCTGCTGTTCTGTTGCTGTTGCTGCTGTGCTGCTGCAAGTGTTGGATGTCTTGCATATATGTTGCATATGTTGCATGAGCCGCATGTGCTGCATCTGCTGCTCGAGTGGCAAAATGGGTTCAGAGTTCGAGGTTCATTGTTTTAGTAGCTGTGTCAGTGACATGTGGTGGTGGCTCAGTTTTCTGGCTTTTGGTTACGGTTTTTGTTTTTGTTTTTGTTTTTGTTAGCTTCAGATATGCACATTCGCAACACACACTTGGCTCTGCTTTTGGCCTGGCTGGGATGCTGCTGCTGCTCTGATTCCGTGATCTTCTACGGCAGGCGGTGGATTCATGGGTTCATGGCGGATGGAGGAGCGGAATTGGTAGTGTGTTTAGGATGTTTGTTGGCATTCCATTGGATTTTTCATTGGAATACACATTTTTTTTTAAGTTAAACGTTTGTGAGTATGTCGAATATATTTGTTTGTGTTGTTTGGTTTATTTTTATTTTTTAGTTAGCATGTAAAGAGAGAGAGATTCATAGAAGTGGAAATAGTTTTGATTAATATTTCATGGTTAGCAGTTAGTTCATCATGTGCTTATCCTATGTTATGCGAGTTATGAGCGCAAAAAGTTACCACGCATTTAATTAGCATTAACATGATCAGTGGGATTCACAAAAACATGCTCAATGGATATATATGTCAGAAAATGTTTAGTAACTTTTTGCTAAATGCTGCCGCATCCAGAGATTTGAATCTTGGGATGCGATCAACATTCTTGACTTTAATAAAGACAAACATACATTATTATCATTAGAGTTTTATCGACAGAATATTAAATTAATTTAAATCAAGGTTGTAGAAGTGCGAATATTGTTGTGTTGTTGAAACGTTATTTGATGCAACATTTGATGGTTATTTAATTTGTTCTTAGATTGAAATTTACAAGAACATGATCTTTTCCTTTTGAGATTAATTCTTTTTATAGTTTTCTTTTGTTTGTTTTTGGTTAACTTGGCCTTTGGTTAGTTATAATTAGCAATAGTATCACATCACATCTTTTGTTTTTGTTTGCTATAAGTATATGTTTATACCGTTTAATGTTTATAAAATGCTATTTATAATTTTATCACATAATAATTAGGGGAAAATAAAGTAAACGAAAAGATTACATAAAATTGCAGGTGCATAAGCTTTCATGACAAAGTGGATTTCGTTAACATTGTTTTGTTTTTACAAACGCCAAATAAAGATAGTATTATAAACAAAAGCGTTATTAACATGTTTTATCTTTACACAAATGCTGTCAGTTTTCTAGTTAAAAGGCTAAGCTTATCTTTTTTAATTTTGTTTTCTGAATATTTCCAATTTTATTGCTTTTAAAGGTTCAAAAATTTTCTGATATGAATGACTAACTCTTTGAAACTAAGTCAATTAAATATGATAAATCAGAATGAAATTCTTCCAGTACTTTTTTCAATTCAGTATCAAGCAGATGCCAATGCAATTTTATAGGGTTATACAAGTTATGTATTTAACTAACTAGTCTAGAGATCTTTTAATCATAGACAGGAAACACCGCAACCCATAAGCTTAAAGTTTAATTGTGGTAAGTACACATAGACACGTGTATCAGATATGCAGATATACGCTTCATAGGATACATAAGTTATAATGCATATGCCATAGCACTTGAAGTGGATTCTTGGTAGTAGTTGGTTTGGTTGGTTTGGTTTTTGGTTGGTCTGGTTGACGGTTGCGTTGGTGGTATTAATGATCAATCGAGGAGTGGGTGGTAAGCATAGAGTTATGCCCAAAGGACGTGTGTGGGTGAGGTTTTATGTATAAATGCTGTTGTGTCTGGGATCTATAGTTAAGTTTTCTTAGTCACTAGAGTTGCAATACAAACAAAGTGAAGTGTTTATTAATATTTCTGATCAATGAGTTATGTGTGACGACTGAGTACGAGAAATAAATATCACTATTTATTCGTTGGGTGTTAAGTTCGGAAAGCGTTAGATTTTGGTTCAAATTTTCATTAGGAGAGTTCTGAAAGAAGTCCAGTTCGTGGAGCAATAAAGAATCATAAGACTTGGTAAGGATTTTGTTTTGCTTGTTTTTGTTGTGTTCATTTTTTTTTTAAGGTTTTTTGTTTTTACTTCAACAAAAATCATTGATCTTTATTTCTTTTTGTGGTACACTTTCGGTTCAATTGCAACATTTACATTCGAACGCATAATACAAAATAATCATATAATCTTAACAGACTAAACAGGGGACTTACTCCTAGGATACACATGTAAATTCATATCTCGTAAAAGAGCTTTTTGTTTTAAATAAGGTATATGGCTTATCCAAAAGTAATACAAATAAGAATCTACTAAATGTTTCAAAGTTCTGTTCTTCACTTTTTTTGTTCGTTTTTTTTCTACTTTTTTCGAGTGTATGTAAAACATCAAAGGCACAAGTCAACGTGGAAACAAAGAAAACCTTATATAAAACTTTGTGTATAAATATATTCGTATAAAAAGATAATCAACTCTTCATTCCAGCTAGAATGCTATCTGGACTGATAGATTTTGCATGTGTCTGTACGTTTGTTTTATCAAAATTTTTTTTGCTTGTTGTTTCAAAACTCGCAGTCGGAATAGAATGCAAGCGAGCCTTGGGGCTCATTTGCATTTTATTCCCCGGGGGGAAATAACACATAAAGAAAATAATAGTTTGATAAAATAAATAAAGGAGTAGAAACACAACTAACCTGTGGAGGCGGTGCGCTTGACAATTGTTTTGCGGAACTCTGATCAGGGCAGAGCGGCCTGGCCTGGCCAACGATTCCGGCCAGGTTTCATCGAATATACAGTGCGTTTGTTTTTGCAAGGGGGTGGGGAGGGATTTTATGAGCAGCATATATATCAAAATAAATAGCGCAAAGTTAAAATAATTGAACTAAAATGATTGGTTGCCTGGTAACCGTAATCTATTGGCAGGCAAATACAATCGTTCGACTTCCGTTGTTCGTTCTTCTTTCGTGATTTGTTGAAAAAAGTTAAATGGTTGCTTCTGTTGTTATGACGTGATTTCAAAATGAAACATTTCTGATTTCTGATTTTGGTGACTTGGACTGGGCGGGTGGTTGGGTGGCTTACTGTATCTCAATGAAACCCGCCGGCTTGGCTGGCACTCCGACCGGTGCTCGCTGATAGGGATGTTCGCGGTTAGTCGCCAAACGACGCTGCTGCTTAATGGCGCCTACTAAAATATACGATACGATACATGTAGATATTGGTTTGCATAGGCATATCGGTTATATGTATAAATAGATGTGAACATATTCGCTACAAAATACAACTTAGGGCTAAAAGATATTGGATACATCCTTACGTCTACCATATGCTTGCTCAAACTGAAGCTGTGCTGCCTTCGCTGGAAGCCAATTACCAACTGAGGGGGAATTATTGACCTGTTTTCGGTTTTTCGGTGTTCTTTTACTTTGTAACATTTAAATTCTCTGCTTCTTTGGAATGAGTCGTTTATATATGTGCTTGTGTACTCGATATTGGATCTGATTTTAAGGTTTGGCCCTAAAATAAGTGATTTTCAAGCCGCTTAGCCTAGGGCACTCTTCTCTGGTCCATCGTTGAACTCTAGAAGTGATTACTGATTACTGTGTTGGTGTAAACATGGTTCCTTAAGCATTTTGTTCTTCCAGCTTGCTGACTAGTCGTGCATTCAATTGATTCTGGATTGCGTTTCTGTTCTTGGACGGCTGCCTCTGAGCCTCGACTAAACTTAGGTCTAATTGAAGTAATTGTTTAAGCACCAACTTGATTCAAGGCTCCTTTCCACTAAGAGATAATATATATAGTATTAAGATACATGCGTGTATTTTAAAAAGCTTTTCTGCAATTCTGTTCAAAGTATATGGATTGACGAGAAATGGCACTGGCTGGAAAAATTGAAACGGTTTCCTTTTCGCTCACTGTTAGGTACATTTGTGCATAAATACTGTCCCCCATCGCAACACTCACTACAATAACTACATAAAAAACAGATACTAAACTAAATTTCACTTAAGACTCGACCCTCATACCACAAAACTAAAATAGGGTTATTATTCAGAACAGAAAATGGTAAAGTATAGCCCTCTTTAATTTGAATACTCATGGGTTCCAAAAACGAAAATCAACAACTTGCTTTGGCTGCGCTGTTGTTGTTGTTCTCAACTAGAATATACTCATATAAAAACGTTTCGGGTGGAAAATCATAAAAGTTAAAGTTAAGATTAAAGCAACTACATTTTAAGGGCCTAAAAATCACTTATTTTTGCCAATATTGCATATTGCAGAAATGTACTCCTTTGCGACCTACAATCTAACTATAGAAAATTTTCAATAAGACATATTGAACTCAAATTGATTGGCGAGCAATAATTTTTTAAGTATTTGTTTCATTTTTCATTGAGTATTTCTGTTTTCCTGTTTGTTGTGCCGTTTTACTCTTATGTTTTTGTCTCTAGGTATTAAATATTTAATTGTATATATACAGTCTATACATTTATATATATGTATGTGTGTGTGCATATTTCTGTTTCAGTTTGTATGTGACTGTAACTATTTAACTTTAGGCTAAACATTTTCAATGGGATTTCCTCTACACTTCGTTCTGTTCTTGTTGTTCAAGGGAAAAATAATAGAGAGTGAGAGAGAGAAGTTCAAAAGACGGAGCCGGCATGCATATATCGACCAACTGTAAATATTTATATTTATAACAAAAATATAAGATAAAATAGATTTCGGATAAAACAATGAAGAGGATTTGTTTAATTCTGTTAGCTCTGTTAGGGTATCATAATAATAGTGAATTATTTTAAGAAAGCAAGGTTAAAAGCGTGAATAAATCTCATTGCATACTTTATGGCACTGAACGTAAACAATAATTGTGTTAGTTTATGTAAAATACAGGAATGCGCTTTGCAGGTAGAATTTGCAAAAGTTCTTTGAAATCGGAAACTAGCCATTTCTGGTAGTTCTTAAAGAAAGTCCAATTAAATTGGTAAATTAAGATGAAGACACAAATTCGTACCTGCAGCAGCATAACCTTATTTATAGCCTGCTATAACAACAAATAATAAATGCAAGCTCCTGATTAAATGCAAAATCTAAATCTTTCACATGACAAGTAGGTGTGTAAACAAGACAATTAACAAAACAATAAATATGTTCAAAAGAACATATGTATTATAAATATAAATAAATGTAAAAAAAAAAACAGAAATAATACTAGATGCTTGAGCTCTCTGGCGCTGCTCGGCTGTCATAACAAACTCAATCGACTGCACTTGGTTAATGTGTTAAGAGGATAAACAAACCTACCGGGCGTATGCGCAACGTGTAAATTGTATCTCTAGTGCGTGTTGTTAAATTGTGTGTGTGCTAAGTTGTGGGTTTTTTTCTGGCGATATGCTATATTATTGCTCGCAATTTAACTCTCAGCTAAACCCTCGATTAAACGACTAACTCCACTGCCTAGATTGATGGATGATTCGCTTAGTGTCGTGCGTAAATCATAATCGATATAGAGAGATAGCGATGGCAAAGAGTTGTGATTCGGGATGATGTGTGGTTTTGGTTTTGGTATGGGTATCGGTATTGGTATTGATATTGTGGTATTATCGGTATTATCTGGCAAACAACCCACCGCTATGATCAGCATATTCCGTGAGCAGAGGATTGCCGGCGAGGGCGGCGTAGTTCGCGTAGTCGTACGGGGCGAAAATCATGCCATGGCCGGTCTGGTCGAAGGCGGCCGTCGGGGCGGCCTGGGCGGACAGTATGCTGGCCGCCGTGGTGGGGACGGTCATCCGGGGGTTCAGGATCAAGGGGGCGCCCAGCGGGGCGGCGGCGGGGGCGCGGATCTGGGCGGCGAGGCCGGGCAGGCCGGTGGGCGTCAGCAGGCGGCTGTCGGCGGAAGCGGCCATCAGGCGGCGCCAATCCTCATCGCACGCTGCGGGATACAGATAAGAAGCAGAGCCAACGCATGAGAAAGCTGGTCGTCGGACACATAAATCCAATACAAAATAAAATAAAGAAATGTAAATCGAATTTAAATCAGTTTGGTTTCGTTGCGGGTTCAGTTTGCAAATCGTTAATGGTTAGCGTCTCTCGCTCATTCGATTAGCTGGTGGTAGTTGGTAGTTCTCGTTATTATCTTTTGTGTTTTAGCTCTGTCTGAGTGGAGATCGGGTTAGACTATCGGTATTAGCTGTTTAGGAGATATAGAGAGGCTTTCGTTGACATACCTGCGACAGATTTCGCTGTTGTGTCCCTATAAGTGCCATTAATAATCGCCAATTCCATAAGTTGACGTTTCTTTAGCTCATCTTCGCCTTCGGCTTGCTGTTAGTACGAGTGTATGGTTTGTGTTTGTTTGGTTTTGTTTTTGTTTTTGTTTTTGTTTTCGGGGTTTAATGTATTAAACGGAATACATTAAAGCAGATTAGGTTTGTTGGTAGAGAGAATGAGAAATAATATAAGAAAATTCATTATTAATTATATTGGTTAACATTCACTTCAGTTTAGCTGAGAAATCATTTAATAATTGATTATTGATTTAACATAGACAAAGGAGGTGGGAAAGGCAACACGCATTTGTTTTTAATTTATCTATTTACTCTTTCATTTACTTTAAGCTTTTCGCGGGCGTATTATGAATTTTTTATTAGGCAAGTATCATTTTTCTTCGTTTACTTGGGAGACTCTCGTCCTCTAAAATCCTCCGACAAACACTCACCGGCACGAGCAGCTTCTGTACTTCGGCCACAGCCTGGGCCAACTTCACCGTGGCACGGTTCTCGGTGTCCTCGACGGTTATCAGCACATGCAGGTCATCGGACAGATGCTCCCAGTTGGGCTTTCCGCGGTTGGCGTCCTCCTAAAAACATAGAAGGGAAAAATTGTACTTGTAAATATGTGTATAGTAATTTGGGATGCCAAAAACCCGCACTTTAAAGCCCATAACATTTCTAAATGATGTTAGATTTTGGATTGGTATTCCTCTAAATGATTCTGAGACACCCCTCTAAACAACTGCATCCTTGGTTTGTTTTCGGTTTTTGATCGATTTTCTTGATATTTTTATAATACCCCTTTTCACAAATTTCCGAAAACTGAATTATCGTAAAATTTTAATTGGAAAATTCAAATGAAATGATTTGTTATTCTCAGTGATTCAATCATTTCACCTTCTTCGCGTTTGCCTCAATTTTCACTGAGTGAAAATAATTTAAGAATCAAAGAGCCAAAGTGCTTAAAGTGGGCGTGTTACGCCATACTAGAAACATTATTGCAATTTTTCATTTCACTGGTGCTATTACTTGTGGCAAGAGTTTTGGCGTACGTGCTTGAAGTATAATAAATACTTTTGCGATTTCTCCTTCACCTCGCTTAACTTGTGACCCACAATTTATAATCAATTAGGATCAAATTGGATAGAAATTTCTTTTGAAAAAGTCCAGTGCTAATTCCACGTCTAATTAACAACTGTCAGTTGGCCAGCGAATAAATGCCGGCAAAAGTTTTAGCTAGAATTGAGTACGACCTTTCTGCTGGCCACTTCGGATGAGTGGCCACGAAGAGGGAAGAAAAAGAAAGAACCTGAACAAATAAAGAGGTGGTCTCACCTCAAGAAAACCGTGCACTATGACTAATTGTTCTTGGGTTTTCGGGTCTATTTCTATCTATAGGATGCAAGTAAACAGAGAATTTCAATTCTTTCGGATTTCACTTGTGTCACCACCGACGAACATCTTTCGGTTCGCGATGAGTCAGACATTTGTGTGTGGGAGTCCTCTCATTCATTTCTACTAAATAATCAAAATATTGCAACAAAATTCCCAATTTTAAAAACTCTCCTGTCTGACTGTCTGTCTTTCTTTCTGCCTGCCGCTCATTTGGCCCGCCGCATTTGTGAATTACAAAAATACATTTAATCGTCTCGAGACATTCGTTTCATTTTTCTTTTCTTTCCTTTTATTTGTCTTGGTTTTTTTTTTCGTCAGGGGAAATTAAATCATCAGAGCATTTTGAGTGACAAGATATAAGTATGGGTAGGTACGTATATGCAAACAAGTGAGAGTGCCGTCGCCACAAAGTTTGGACTTGTAAGTACCCTTTAAGCTCATATGTTTTATTTATTTCATTTTATTTTTCTGTGGCTATATAAATTGTAGAAAATAGTAGGTATACTTCTTCACCGGATTTAAATTTTGTCGGAAAATTACTTTGCGGAAATAATCCACAGCAGCAATCATTGCCAGAAACAAGAAAGAGAAGGGCATACTTTTCGCATTATAATTAAGAATAATTCCCATTTGGCACGGAAACCGACTGTCAACAGAATTTTCATATGCACGCGTACCATATTCGCGGCCACTATTTACGATAATTAAAATTGAAATTGAAGTGCTCGGGTAATGGCTGAAAATCTTTGGAATGCACTCAAAAATGTGTAAGCTGGCTGGGTTCGAAGCAGTAATGCCTCGTTTCCTGCCAAACCATGTGGCATTCGAAATCCACTCGATTAACTCGATCAACTCGATCAGCACTCACCTTCTTCTTGTCGCGCATGGATCCCTTGCCTCGGACCATGATCTTGCAGCCGGTCTCCTGCTCCAACTGCTTGGCGGTCATGCCACGGGGTCCCAAAATGCGACCCACGAAGTTGAACTGAAATGGAAATGAAAACGAAAACGTAAATGAAAATGGAGAGGAGATTTGAATTGGACGGGCGAAATTAGAGGAAATCATTAGCGAATCAACGTACGATCTAATTAACTGGCTAACTTGGTCTAAAGTTCAAAGTTTTTGCCAAATTTAAAACGCATTAGATCGACTCGTGACTCAGGATGCATAAATGCCAGGCCAGATCCGCTCAAAGTCGAAGTTATTAAAGCGTATGACGTTGGTCAGATTCGGTTCGTTGAAGGCTGGAGTCACCCACAGCATTTGGGAACAACAATGGTCGAACGTAATATGACCCGCGGCGACACGCCTGAATTTGGCACGATAAACCAATCAGCCAGATAGACACACAAGCTCTTTGTGCATATAGCCAAATGCAGTCGGTTAAGTCAGTTAGCAAGTCTATCAAAGGCACTTAAAAAAATATACTTTTCTAGAAGATAAACTATACAACGCTTTCCTCTACTTGTACTATACAAAGTAAGTGCTAAATAAGAATGCATTTCTGTTGAACTTTATACATTTCTCGCCGTGTAGCTGGCGGCGACATTCAAAAGAATTTGCTTAAACTATTAGCGGAGCGTGCAAAAATCTTTTGACGCGCTTGTCGATGATGATGGACGTGCATGGCATGTTGGCCAACAGTGGTTGCAAGCCCAGCTCGGCGATGAGGTGACCCCGACCGCTAGTAAGCTGCCGTGGCGCCCAATTATCATATAGTTTGGTTAGATTGCAACAACCGGGCCGCAGGCCTGCCGATAAATTAGATTTGTTGGCCAGATCACAACTATTTCCACTTGAGTTATTGTTAATGGCTGGCCAAACTAGTTCTAGACTCGCCCCGGGGCGCAACCCACCCACATTCATCTGGAGACCCATTGCGAGTGCGATGATGTGATGGGCCGAGAGATATGGGGATGTTAAGTGCGCTGCGAACTGCGAAAGCGATGCGATCATCGACAGCAGACAGCCGCCGGCAGCAGTTGGCCAAAGCAAAAGTAGCTGAAACAGCAGCAGCAGCAGCTGTTGTCAGTCAGATACGAATGTATCTGTATCTGTATCTGTATCTGAAGGCCTGCATCTGCAACTGCAACTGCAACGCAACCGCATCAGCGGCAATTGCAACTGCCACTGCTGCGATCGAATCAATTGAAAATTGCCGCGAAGAATGCAGTTAATGCCTAATGGCTCCGGCAATTTTAATTAAATTTTGCGAAAAGCTATTTAACCTCCATTGAAGTCCACAAAACGTGGCCGAACTGTGGCGAGAAAGTTGCTAGGCCCAAATAAAACGAAATGTTGCTGCAATGCCTTCGCAAAACTCCGCACCGACAATATTTGCATTGCTTATCGCCCGCGTATCACTTGCTTAATTAAAAATCCCTGGCTCAGTGGAAAGTTTACACAAGTGATCTCCTCCATTTGCCATTAAACGGAAATTAAAACCCATTTCCCCCCCTCTTGCAACACTTACGAGATTCCACATACGACGCGTTGCGCTGCCACTGGCGTTCTACAAATATTGAGAAATGCCAAACAAATACGAGTGGCCAAATAAATTATAAACGATTGCGCTTCAAGAGTTTCCCTCTGGCTCTTCCTTTATTAGAGTTTATGTGGGAGTGAAAAGCCCCCACCACTTTGTTCTCATAATTCCCTTTTAAATGCACAATGGGTATTTTTAGATTCCTAAGGTAGCATATTCGGAACCCTTTTCCCCTTATTGTGTGATTCGATAATTGCGCGACCTCAAGTGGCACGCGTGCTTTTACAGACGTCACGCATAATCTACACCGGGAAAAAATCAAGCATAGAACACATAACTCAACAAGAAGTTTTCATGTTTTTAAGCTTGAAAAAATTCCGATAGCTTTTTAAATTGAATAGTTTGCAGTAATTTTTCACAGTCTAAGAAAACTCTTTGAGGCTTTGGGGTCTGTAATATTGTGTTGACCTTTTGCCGGCGGCACTTGAGCCAAAAGTGCTTTAGTAAACAGACAAAAGCCAGATGACAACGGGAGTTGCACGGCAAGTGAAGTGAAGTGTAGCGAACTGAAGCGGACAAATAATTGTTGTGTAGTGTACACATTTATAGGTACTGAGGGAAGTGTGCTTTTATGAGAGCGGAGGCTACTTTATTTTACAGATTGTGAGCTCAGATAGAGAGCACAAGGAAAATATTTTATATTTATACAATTCAATACGGCAAAAGGTACAAACAATTGATAAGCGAATTGCGTCGCCCATTCAAAGGGCACCGAAATTTCTGAGGGCGAGAAGGAGCTGTGATAAGAGCCCCCACCATGGGTGCCCATGACGACAGACCGTCCAATTGTGCGCAAAACTTTTCATACGAAAACCACACACAAAGAACATTTTTGGAATTTTTCATTAGGGGCTCTGGGATGGAGAACATTATACTTTATAGTTTTCAGATTTTAATCGCGCTGCCCGTGTGACTCAGAAAGCTTTACAAATCTTTTCATTTAAGCCGCTCACCAGCAAATTGGAAACAGAAATGCATTGGCGACCAAGGCAGGGTCGGCATAGATCAAATAGATTAGTCGGCCACCACTATGCATACAGTACTTATATGGCGTGTGTACTATATGCATCTACAGAAAGAGACACTTTAGCAGACATAATTACGCTACACAAAAAACCTTGTCTATTACACGGAAAAATAAATCAAACTTTGACACGACAAACAACGGCAGCAAATTTAACTTGAAAATAATGCTTGCCACAATTCGCTGTCTCTGTTTTTCCTTTTATTTTGTGCCATTCGGGGCTGTACCTATTAAATTACCGAACAACCGAAAATGTACATAAAAATTGCACGTAATTAGCATTTCAATGTTTATGACTAATTTGCTGCAGTTTGTAGATTAATTGGCCTTTGTGTTAACGGCTTAGACAATAAACAAACAGCACACAAGCAAAACAAAAAGCAGCATAAGGTGATTTGGGGAGACGTTAATACCATGTCTGAGATGGGCTGCCGTTGAGATATAATTTGGCTTAAATATGGCGGCGATTTCCCAGTTGATCGATATGTCTAAGTGCCGAATGACCTTAACACGAATCGAATGTCAAATGGTTCACAGCTGTGGGATGTAGTTTGTGTGGGGGTGTGACCGCAACATTAATCAGCGGATAGGAAATTCACTCGGCTCAATGGTATCGATTAACAATTGAATAATTGATGTTTAAAAAGATCGCTCCGCTGTTCGTGCCTACAAGCAATTTAAAGCATAATGAGTGTTTTAATGTTTTAATCGAACAATAATTAAATTTCAGAAGTGGCTATAATTGCAAAGTGAGTTTGTGAATGATACAAATAAACATTAAAACTTGGTTAAGTGATCAGTTGGTTGTCACCAGTTTTCTGCTGAAGCTCACTGTCTCATCATGAAAATATTTGCCTCTAATAGCATCTAATTGCCCCTCTTCCATATGTTTAAATTTAAGCGTCGGAAAATGAGTTTGCGAAAATATAAAAAATGTCAAACATAATTTCAGTTCTGTAGCCAGCGAAATCACTCAGAAGCTGGCCAGGCTCAGTGGGTCACATGTCGCATGTCGTATGCCGCATGACGCGCCACGGGGCGTATGAGCAATGACCGCTGACAGCGAACAACGACGAGAACGAGAGAGATGGATGAAAACGCACCGATGTTCGCCCCAAGAAACGTGGAGCGTTAATAGTTGGCTGTAATTAATTGTAAACTGTTTTAATGCCCCGGCTGCTGGGGACTTTAATTAAGTTGCATTTGTGTTTTGGACACGTTCAGGGAAACGAGATTTTGCAGATATATATTTGTATATATCCTCGCCGCCATCTCCTCTGCTTTTGGAGCCCGTTTGACAAATCGTTGACCATTTACATGGCATATTGTTGTAGTCGGCCTGTCGGCCAACTGACAAATCTCTATTTACATTGTTGAATGCGTTATAAATTATTAACTGCTATTATTTGCGACTGCCAGTATCTGCGCTAATGCCATGAAATTTATGCCCCATGACCGAGCGAGAAAAAAAAGCCAGCAAACCAATAAACATTCTGCCCAGAACTTGTTGCACTTCCATGTTATCCGAGGCGCAATTTGTCTTGCTTAAACACATTTTCGAAATTCGACTGGCGACCGTATGAAAATGTCAGAATTTTCCTATGCGAATTTTTATGTATCGTAGGCTCTTGTTTGCCCGAAATGATTGCAATTAAATGGGATGATTTATGGGGAAAACAGCGCTCGAAACGCCCGCACAAAACAGTCGACATCTGAGGGGCCCCAAAAAATAAGACAGATTGGAACACCTGAACTATTGGAAAATCAAGCGGAAAAATCTGAGTCCCTCAGGCCGTAAATCTCAGCCAGATATCTGTGCCAGATTTCCGTGTGGAAAACACCGAAAGCACATGAAACACCTTCATCAAAAGTTGTTTCAGTCGGCACTCTGCCCAGTTTTATTAAATTATGTATGTTGTTTTTAATTTACGACCTTAACTCATTCATATTCATTTCATTTGGGTCTAGCCCTAATAAAGTCCAATTTAATGTTAGAGTTTGGCTGTCTATTTTCGTGTTATCTTTGGCTTCGTTCTAGACTATTGTGATTTGGAATGTTTGTTTTATGCAACGGCCGGCGGTAATTAATTGAATGGCCCATGTGAGAAATGTTTCACTTTGGTTTAATTAATTTCTACGATGGTCAAGAACGGCGAAAGGTTCTATAACCTTTGTAAGTTGAGCTGACTTGGCAGATTATCATATTTGTTGACCAGCGACTTTGGAGATACATTAATCATGATGAAAGAGGAATATGGTTGTGCAACAATGATTATTAACGGAAATAGACTTCATCATATACACATACTAAAGGGAGTGCAGATAATGGTTTACCTAAGTCTGGATTTGGAATAAATTGCCAATTAAAACGATAGTACTAAAATCGATTTGAAAATCATTTAAATTGCCATCATGTGGTTGGGTCATCGCTCCACCCAATCGCCCTCAACTGGCGCCATTTGGCAAAGAAAATTATTTGAACAGCTGCCGAACAGAAGCCACATCAGCAGAGACACCATTGAACGGAGTGCGATATGAAATGCTTTCGAGTCTAATTAATGCTATTTAAATTTATGCATTTATCTGGATCACAGGCAAAAAGGAGAAAAACAACGACGAGAAAACGAAGCGAGGCAAAAACATAAACATCAAGAGCAAAGTGTGTCATGCAGTAAAATAAATTTTCTCAGTTCCGCCACTGCGACTGCTGTCAGGCCATAAATAAATAAAAAACTAAACTACGCCCAAACAATTTCCAAATTAACAAAACTAAAGAAAAACAAAAGAAATATACATGTCTGAAGAATGGGAGAGGGGGGAAGCGGAGGTGGAGGGGAGAGGAAACATTTTAAATTGCATAAAATTAAATCAAATTCTAATGTGGCAGGGCTTGGCCTGAGTGACTTGCTCCGACGCCTACAATAAATGCCAAATGGAACGAACGAACGCCGTCAAACGACTTCCTAAAACGCTTCAATGGTTTTGTCTAACCCATTTTATACGTATATACATATATCTACAGCTCAATCTGTATCTGCATCTGTATCGGCTCGGGCTTTATGGGGAAATTGGAAGGGTGCATCCGAGCTTTGCATTTGGCATCTGGCTGGGGCGTCTTTTTTTTTTGTGGGACCGTCTTGCCGCCAAGACAACTTAACAGATGACTGCCTCTATCGGCGGAGAAGATACACCTCGGCAAATAGTTGAGCGGACTGGCACACCTTTAAGCCGTTTCCGGTGTAGCCCAGTTGCTCACTGAACGCGTTGTCAATTCTAATTGGCGGAAGCCCGTGCTCTCCGCGAGTCCATAAATTAGATCATCGTTACCGGCATTATGCTAAGACCACTTACATCTGGATGCTCGCGCACTGGCACATAGACCTTCTCGTTCATCGTCACCACTGAGCCCTCGGGTTCGGGCAGAGTCAGGGGCTCCTTCTTGACCCCATTGATCTGGAACAGCGAGGCGCGCACGCGTGCAATTTCTGAAATGATTAAATAGAGAGATAACGGAGTATAAATACATGTTTATTTACAAGTAAGACAAGAAGAAAAGGCAACAAATGAGATTAAAAATTGTAAAACTAACTAAGATTAAAAACTAAGATTATGACCTGTTAATGTTTTTATTTAAAATAGATTTGAAAGGCATCTGCTTGTACAGCAGCCTTTTTATTAATACACAGATGAAAACCAAACAAACAAAGCGTTGATAATTTTAATTGCCGGCTCTTTGCCGCCACTTCACGCGAGTGCGGCTCAATTTGTCATTTCGCTAAGTGCTTGTATTAAATTACGTTTAATTTGCCTCTGGGTGGAAAACCTACTAAATTAGCATCAATAAAACGGCGTGTGAATGTGTTTACCCAGCCATCGACAGTCGTTCTAACTTATTTATTAGTCTGACCCATGAAATCACTTGGTTTATATTTAAACAAATATGCCATAACTTTGCCTAGCATCATCGTAATGATGATCGCACCCACACATCCCTTAGAAATGAGGTCAGGCGGTGCAGAGTCACTGCTGCCACGCCCCCTCCCCCTCTTCCTCGCTGCCGCCCCCTCGTAAAACTCACACTTCTAGTCATTTTTATTGGCAGGTGGGGCGTTGCAACCCCCAACTGAGTTAGTTGACAGGGGCTCTCGAATTGATATGATCAACATTTTGTGCTCCCCTCCAACTGCTGCTGGTGTTGTTTGGTTTTGCATAAGCTCAATTGCATTGTTTGTCTTTGGCATGTGCTTTGACAATTTGTCACTAAAAGTGGGTAATTGTGCTGGGTGTGTTGGCCTGGGGGGCGCGAGGGGGGAAAGGTGACCGCATCATATGTCACAGAAATGATTTAAGAATACGCCACTAAATGACATCAAATTAAATGCATCAGTTATCTCGCTAAATGTCAACGTTTTGACAAACGGTTATCTGATTTCTTTGACAGTGAGTGTGTGCAAATGTTGACATCAGAGATCTTGAAAATAACTAAGCGCTATTTTAGTCTATTTGAAGTGCATTGTTTTCGACACTAAAAATGGCTTTTAGAATGTATTCTATTTTTAAACCATTTGAAGAGATATTTTGTTGGTTAGTCGACAAATTTTTGCGAATTCAGATTCGATTATAAAAGTCCCTGTACGAGTTTCTTGACCTGTTGAATGTAGAATATGCACACCGGACGACATCTTGTTTGGCACTTAAATTAATTATGTTTGATATTTTTATCTAGCCAGCTACTGGCTTATTTTCTTATTTATTTCGCCAGCTTTCTCTGTGTGCCACATAAATAAAATTTGAAATAAAAAATCTGAGCAGTCGGAACGCACAAAGAAGGCGAAAAGAAATTGCACAAAAAATTTAAATTTACTTTTCCCCAGCGGTGCGAAAAAGAAACGCCGGACCGTTCCAGAGTTCACGGCGGGCCAAAGAACCCATAAAGAAAATGGCAAAGAGTCGAACAGCCAAAGAGCCGAAGAGCAACCGACAGACTCCGGTTGAACACTTGAGTCGATTAATGGCAGAGATGGAGAAGAGATTTTCCCCTCGACAATAATTAAGAGCAGCTCCAGAAAGGCTTTTCATTTGCCTGTCCATTTTCGTGTGTAATTTATTGGGACACGCAAGTGGAGCGTTCCAATGGTGGCATCATCGTCGTTTCGGCGGTTCTAAGTCATGAGCCATTGGCATAAACGCAATCATGACAGCTGTCAATTTTAATCGAGCGAGTGTCAATCCGCATCCACATCTATTCAATCTGCAACGTGACCGATGTGTGGCAGTGGCACGAAGATTGTGCAGCCAGATTAGATGAATAAGCCGCGCCAAATTGGTGTAAATTGCATTTGCATACGATCGGTCCGGCCCGATGACGATGACGGAGTCACTGATTCACTGATTCACTTCTGGGGCCAACTCAGATGGATTGATAGCGGGCATTTAGATAAATTACAATAATCAAGGCTCGCCATATGCGCAGGCGGCTTAATTAATAGCAGCTTAGTCAGAGACTTAGCCCGGAGTCTATAATTAAAGCCCTGGCTCAGGCTCACCTGTTGCCAGCTGACCATTTAAGGGCATAACTCAGCGGAACCGGGCAAATATGTACGGCCGAGTGGGCGGGGAGAACGAGAGCAGCGCCAATCTAATAATTATCAATGAAAGATCTTTTTATTCATTAACAAGTCGAGTCGTTTGTGCTTTTAAGGCAATCTCCGCATCTCTTTCGCAACGCGACTCATAATTTACATAGACCGCCTTATGACTCTATCTCTTGGCCAACTCGCCGGACTCTATATATGGCTAGGGACGGAGCTACCAAATTTGGCACCCCAAGTGGAGGGGAAAAAACTGCTTTGCGTGTGTGTTCAAGTATTATTATCATTTTGTATAATTTTTTCTGCGCTCTTTTTATAGCCAGCCCCCACAAAGCACTTATGGCGAACGAACCTCAACTATGGAGTGTTATTAGTCAAGCAACTAAGAATAAAAATGGGTAAAGCTCAAGGTTGGGCGTGGACAAGAAGGATGAACCTGTTTAATTTCTGCATGACATCACCATTGAATCGACCACAAATCTAGAGATTCCTCTTCGAACTCGCCCTTCGAGGAAGGTGGGTGGTGGTGGTGGGCAACACCCAACATTTCCCGCCTTGCTTGACTGCCGCATTCTGCAACATTTGAATTTTAAATTTAGCCCCTGCACTTGATGATGAACACGAAACACGAACCACGAATGCGAAAGCGACTGAGTACGACAACCAGTCGAGCGTCAATAAATTGTCAAATTTTATGCACCACGATTTTTTGGCAAGGGTTCTTTATGTCCGCGGGCAAGTAGGGCATAAAATGTGTACGTAGTAGAGTGAATATTAATGTGGAATCTGATTGTATCTATATATATTGACGAGCAGTCGTGGGTATTTTTGGAACGGCGCTAAAGCATCATATTTGCTGGGATTCTCATATTTTAAACGGTCTTTATCACATTTAGAGGGATATTAAAAAGGAAAATTTATAATACAGAATGCCTTCTTGAAGCATATACAAGTACTAAAGCCATTCCCATAAGTCAACTATTTGGTATATCGTAAAAAACAAAACAACTACACATATGCATATCTCGACACCCTTGATCAGTTCTCCATTAGCGACAACCTCGTTCGCACCAAAAACACTAAGAGGATATAAGTTATCGAGTCCTAAACTTGTCAATCTAATAAGATATGCCAGACAGATGGCGCAGACACCTCTAAACCAAATTAAAACCGCGCTCAGCTCAGCAGCTTAGCGGCGCTGATTGATTGTTTTGAGCTGGGCGAACAATTTGCATTGGCTCACGACTTCAGGTGGGAAATCGTATACTATGTACCACATAGTATTTACTGGCTGAATGCGACACATTTCTAAGTATCTGGCGGCTAATTTATGAATGCAAAACCATTCAGAGCACACGAATTAGATGACTGCCAGCTGATGAGCGTGTGGGCGTTATAGCCAAGAAAACAATGTCAACTGCGATCGTTTGGGTTTCTGTCTCGGCCTCCGCCGAAATGTCCCACTGTCTTTCTGTCTGTCTGTCTGCCTGTCTGTGTGGGCTGGGAGTCTTAACAAATTGTCACCAGAAATGGCCGGAACGCTCGAAAACGTTTAAGGTTCAGCCCGATTGCTGTGCCTTCTGTGGCTGCAATTAAGCCAGGTCCCGCATATTTGGCAAGCGCCAAAACGTATTTGATTTTATGGTTTTTATTTGCTGTTCGTCATGAACTCCATTGGCCTTGAGCGCATTTGCAATTTCGCATTGTAGTCGTATTTGAGCAAAACAGAAAACACTTAATTGTGCGTTCAAGTAATTTCATTACTCGGTTTTTGTGGATTTTTGCATATTTTTTGCATATCTTTTCGGTTTGTGGTTGGCTAAAGGCATTTGCTTCTAAATCAACACATGGATTTCAAATTATATGAAAAGTAAACCCTAAAATATACGGTTTATTTATATAATAATAATTTATCAAAATGTTCATAATTTAAAATTTTTATGGGAATTATTTGTTAATTTTCAGTTGTAAAGCTTGTTTAACAATACAATGCTCAAAGGTTTTTTGTTGACCAAGCAAACAGCGCATTTGATATATAAATCAATTTATCAGGCAAATATATATATCCAATTCCAATCCTTGGACCTCAACGTTATACCCCGCACTGTCAAGCAAACATTTTGCATCAAGGCAAAAATAAACATTTGTTAATCTAGCTTCTCTTTTTGTGTCTTAATACATTTTCACCATTTTAATTAATGACTTTTTCCAAGCCAGCGACAGCAATGACAGTTTTTTATGCATTTTTATTAATAAATTTCTACCATCATAAAGCTATCAGTGGCAACTTGGTTCTCACGCTCAAAGTTCCATGGTCTCTATTATATTATACTATATATAGTACCACTTCTGGCACGACATAAATATATCAATTGGTTCATCTGATTTTCTCGAGCCCCATAAAGATTTGTTAACATGATTTTATATTTTAAATTGCATATGCAAGCGTATTTTTTATCTGCTTGACTTTACCCACATTCGACTACAGAAAACAAGAGTTGTTGAATGTTGTCGAAAACGAGAACAACATACATAAGTAAAACCGCTTTCGTTGACTCACAAACAGCAGCAACCATTAAAAGTGAAATAAAACAAAGAAAACACAATTAATGCTGGCGGAAAACATAGCAGCAGTAACAGCTAAAAAGAAAAGAAAAACATAAAACAATCCCGCTGTAAAAAAAATAGGTCAACGAATTGCGAGCAAAACAAACGCAGAGGCAATGAAAATACCATCGGATAAAACAAGGAAGCACAGGCGAGGTGCTCCTTAAAGCGGAAAATCATCAGAGGTGAGGAACAAATAGAAATGTTCCTGATCACAAAGGAAACAAGCGAAATTAAATGCAGACAAGCGAACACTATGCAAACATGGTAAAATTGGTTTGTGGCCT